GGTTTTTCAAAGTTTAAGCCATGAGAGGTTGCCATGTATCAACAAACTTTTTCACATTTGTCTTCTTAAATTATTTATTGAAAACAAAAAAAAAATCATGTGTCAACAAAATTTTTGACATTTATCTTCTTAAATTATTTATTGAAAACAAAATAAAAATTAACTGTGTTTTAATAACTTTAGCAATTAATTCTAACAATTAAATAGCTAATCGTAATGTAAATTAATTATAACAAGTTACAATTAAGTCTTTTGTATAGATTTATATAATTCTTATGTAAATTATAATATAATTTTTATGTAAATCATTGTATAGAAAATATATATTTTATTTATAAAATCTAACAATATCCTACAAAAAAAAACAAGTAATTCTTTTTTTATTTTTTATATAGGTTATTACGATTTTAAATAGAAAAAAAATCACAAAAGAATAGATTTAATAAAAAAAGGCATAACATGAACGGAAAAAAAATGATGTGAGAAAAGTAATTAAATAATGATTGTAGAATTTGTAGGGCTGTTAAATCCAACAAATCTAATTGGAGAAATTTAGAACTTAAATATTTTTAAATACTTTCATAGCTTAAAGTTATATAACATTGTATATGTCCAATAATTTGATACAAATGTTTATTTTTATAACTTAGATAATTATTTACTATAAACAACAAATTTATATAATATTAAATACCAAAATAATCAATTAATAGAAATTATTAATGTTTATTTTTAGACTCCACGCAACGGATGTGCAATCCCTAGTATATTATAATAAAAAGTTAGCACTCTCCAGCATTTGACACGTGGCTCGCCTCTTTAGTCGACACATGTCCAGTAAAAATAACAAAAGAGCGACTAAAAAAATTCTGTGGAAAAACCAAAAAATTACTTCTCCTAGCGTCGGTCGTCTTTTTTTTTTTTTTGTTGGTCACAGTCCTAGCGTCGTTTCTCTCCTTCGTCTGGGGTTTCTCCTCGCCACCATTGCAAATCACACCATAGAGTTTCTTCCTTGCATATGCTTCTCTCTCATTCCAAGAGCATGTCGTCCTCTGCTTCTGTTTTTTTCCGGTGATGAAAATAGGAATTTCTCGGGAAACTTGCAAAGTCCAAGTACGAAATCGTTTTCGTTGGTTCATCTGTTGAGGAAACGCTGGTTTTCTCAAGAATCAAACGCGATCGGAATGTGAATAATGGTTTCGAAAAGAATTCGAAAGGCGGTGGTTTCTCTGCATCTGGGTAAATCGGTTCAAGTTCGTCGACTGAGTGGTGGTTTCTCTAGAAGGTAAGATTTCCTCGGAATCAAAAACGCTGACTGAGTATGAATTCTTGTTTTGTTAAGAATTAACGATGTGGGTTTGGGTCAGAAAGAAGTCGAGATTTCCTAGAGAAGTCGAGAATTAGCTCTTCTTCCTTTACCTCCATGGATCGAGGAAAAACAAAATTGAAATTCTCAAATTCATGTTTTGGTGACCACAGTGCTTCTCATTTTCTCGAACGTCCCATAAAGGTATGGATTTTTTTTTAATAGAGTAGTTTCTTGTAGAACATGAACTTGTGACAAAAGATTTATCAGTGCAAGTATGTTAGGTTAGCTCTCTCTCATTTTGACCTGAGTCTCCATTTTAGATTTCAGTTTGTCATTAGAGATATCTCATATTACCTTAGTCTTGGGTTTCTGGTTTCGTCATCTTTATCATGAGATTGAAGCTCTCTTTTCTTTGTTTGACTGAGACAAAAAAAAAATGCAGAAAGACGTTGCTCCAGGGAGGTTGATCGACACCTATGCGATGCAATTAAAAAAAGTGTCATAAGTGGAGGGTGATTGATAGCCAGGACGACATTTGAAGTAAAATGATGGAGGATCGGTTTGAGTGCGAGAAGAAACAGGGTATGTCATGTGAAGAGTCTGGTGTGGCAGATCTTCACTATGATCTCACACGGACATGGGTTATCGACAAGCCTGGTGTGCCCAAACAAGTCGTTCCCGAAGCAGTCATTATCAAACCGCAAAAAGACAAAAAAGAGCAGTGACTCGTCTGATTCCGAAGAACAAAAAAAGATCACAGATTCCAATGAAAGACTATTAGGCGTGCAAGTTCCTTGATGAGAAATGAGATCCCAAGTTTATAGTGATCATTGCTCACTGATACAACGAAATAATGAAAGAATACACCCGTGCAATGAATCTGTGATCAAAACAAACACGGTAAAACCAAAGTTTCTGTGACTTTATATACAATCTTAAGCTTGATGTGCGTTCTTATACATGCTGTACTTAGCTGTATCGGTCTTGTGTAGCGGCTATACAGTGTTTGAAAAGCAAGAGGTTATATGGTACATGTTCAAGTGAGTTTTTTTTCTTAATCAGTGCCCTTCTAAGTTTGCTATTTTCAGCAGTAATAGATGAATTAATGGGATCTTATCTCTCTTTTCATACATATGATTATGTTAGGAGGCGCAAAAGCAGCGACCGAAACTGTAGATGCATTGCGGAGTGGAGCTTCTGCAATGAAAGCAATGCAGAAAGCAACGTATGTGTTTATAACATTTTTACATTATCACCTTTGACTTTTACTGTCATTCTATTGTTAACGAGCCTGGGGAATCTGTAACACGAGCTTCTTCTTAAACTTTGTCGATCCTCTTATGCTTTCCCATTTCTCCTTTTGGCATTACTCAAATGCTTCAACGTTCCACTGTCTAATTCGAAAACACATTTTTTACAGAAATATCAGTGATGTGGACAAGACCATGGACGAGATCAATGAGCATATCCAAGAAGCATTGCAACTCCAATTGGTTCAGCGACTGATTTCGATGGGTTAACTTTCTCGTACCCCTTCATGGTGATATTCTTCATACAATGATCTTTCTCTAAGAAAATTTCTATTTGTTAGGATGCGCTTGAAGCAGAGCTTGAAGAACTCGAACGTGGCGAACTTGAAAAGCAACTTCTTCAGCCGACAACAACCGCTCCATTGCCTTCAGTTCTCGTGCTTGGTGGGCATCAACCCGCCCCCGTCCTCTACCTGAAAAGCAGCGGACCACTATTGAAGACAAACTTGCTGCATTACAAGCTGAGATGGCCCTTTAAGGTCACTTCACTTCTCTTATCTATAATTAAACAAATCGATGAATACTTCATTTGTTTTCAAATACATTTATAAGCGTTTATATGATAGGAAAGTTCACGTTTCTGAATTAAAAACATTGACAGTTTTTAAAAGATTATTTTTGCCAACGTAAACAAGCAATGAGCTAAAAGCTAAAACATTATGGATTCCTAATTAATAACTTTTGCAAACAGTTTACCCGCAGGTTATATTCACCTCAACGAGCAGACCTGTATGCATTTGTAAAACAAGACCGTAAAAATCATGCCGCTTTGATATCGGAAATTGAAAACCGTGTCGTCTTTTAGGATTTTAATCTGTATTGGGTTCTTACAACGGAATTTTATACTATGCGATGGATACTTGAAGTTATAGATTACTAATTGTTCGTTTGAACATGCACTTCTGCTTCCACTAAATAACATAAGCTATTTAAAACTATATGCTATAACACCATAATTGCTATGATTAAAAATAATCATAATAAATGTAATTACTATATTCAAATTTCAAAATGTGAAATAGTAATTACATTTATCACCCACCGCATTTGGCAGATCACCATTTACAAAGCAAAATAACCAGACTAATGTACCTCAAAAGGTTTAAACTATGAAAACATTGCATCTCATTTTGAAAAAACGTCGTCATTCCCGGTACAATATAG